CTTTTTATATTTACTTAAATTATTAGTATGGCAAGAAAACAATGAACTAAAATCAATAATTACCTCTTTGGATTTCTCAATCAGATGCTCTTCCACATCTTTAGTTATTATGTCTGGTCCTAGAGACTTGACCTTTGTACTTAGGAACTTGATTGCTCTATCACGTACAATATCCTCTCCTGCTGAAATTTGGGCAAATAGACCACCTATGGCACCTGAAAATAATTTAAAAAATGAAATAATATATCATTACCTTACTTAAAAATTATTATTATTATTTTATTATTATTATTACCTACTGTAATGAGATTTCCCAATGCAAACACCTCCTCAAATAAATTAATACAATTAATTAAAGATAAATATGGCATCTGATTAAAATATTTCCTCCTCTTACCCTTAGCATCTAATTTGAAGACCGCGATGAATGCATTTTGTACGCAATTCAACTCCGCCTGATCTTCTGACTGGAGAAGTTGTGTGAGGACATCAGCAATACGTGGAAGGTGATCAGGTGCATCTCTGCACAGGTTGGGCAATTCCTTTATTGCTTGTCTACGAAGCTGGAGACAAATGTTTTGTATAAATTTCCAAGATTATTTTCAAGTTTAAGATATACAATATCTTTATATTTAATCACAAAAATGTTATTAATCAGGCCCGTATTTAGGAATTTCAATTGGGGGGGGGGGAGGTTCGGCTTGGGACTATGCGGAACTCCTTATCAAAACTCACATACTTCTTCTTCTCTCCCATAAATGGGGACTTTATTCGGTGTGATAGGCCTCAGGCCCTTTTACAGTATAAATAAATATACATTTTTAGTGCTTTAAATAAGGCGAGACTTTTTATACCTTGTTTAGCGAACCCTCCGATTCCGAAATTGTGGATTTCAAAATAAAAATAAAATTTTATTATAAGTGTGTTAGCCAGGGATGTCACCACGCTGGTCGGCAGAGGACTGGCCCGTCCAGCACTCAACATTTCCGACCAGGATTTACAGGCTCCCGACCACCACTATTATTTCAACAGTTTACAAATTGTAACAAAATAATTAGTTTACCTAAACACAATAGACAAGCTAAATTGATATAAAGACAATAAGAATACAATAACAATAAATGTTTCCGTGGTTACGTTAATTGTAACAAAATACTGCACTGCCCTGCTATTCATCGCTAACTTAACAGCCTAGGCCCAGTTGAGTCATAGCGAACATCGTGGGCCGGCATGACACGGTTGTTCTGTACACATTCAGTTGAAATCGTGACCATTCAATTGTTTTATTATGAGATCATGGTCCGGGGCAGGAAGATTAATAAAAATTTACGAAACCTGATTTATGTTTTATTTCTTTACTTTGTTTTCATTTTGTATTTTAAGTTTTTCACTTTCAATTATAATTAATTGATATATAATGTGTGTAAATGGACAAAAAATAAATAAATGAGTGCACATGAATCAGTGACATACACATTCATCGTGGTAATCGTTAAACATGTGAAATTACGGCAAACAATGCGGCTGGGTACAGTCGGATCGACGCTTTGTCGCCGGGATTTGTTCATTATTATTTTTTAATCTAAAACAAAGCATGTCAACTATTGAATTTAATTAGGCCTACAGTAAGTCTCATCTTCATCTGTTTTGTTGCATTCCTCAAATTCTGGCCTAGGCCTACCTGGGCCTTGCCTGGCCCTAGGCCTACCTGGGCCTAGCCTAAAAAAATCGCGTCAGCTAGCCTTGGGCCTAGGCCTGCTCGACTTACTTAGGCCTTTTGGTTTTTACGAGCTTTCACGAATACGGCGAACCCCCCGGAAAATTGGGGGGTTGGCACCCCCACCCCCGGGAAAATGTGGAATGATCGCCGACCGGCACTCCAAAAAGCTGGTGACATCCCTGGTTAGCGTACGAGCCGCAATGAAAAATTTAAAGAAAGAAATAAAAACTATTTTTGTTTTAGTCCGCTTTTGTAGGCCTACAGAATAAAATGGCAAAAAAATCTTCCTAATTTACACGGAACACCATCTCCGGGGAAGGGGGGTCGTACGAACCCCTCTTAATGATATATTGATAAACTTTCGTTATTATTTATTACATTCTTGTATGGATAATGGAGTTGCCAGGAAGGAAGACTGAATGACTTTCAACAATAATATTTTAATGACACTCATAATATTCATACAGACAACATGAATGACCGTAATTAAAATCATCATGTGGATTAGCACAATAATCAATTATTTTTATTTTGAATTGATAAACGTATTGTGCTAAAACTGAACCAATTAAAATTTTTTCTAATGATGTGATTTTTTTATTTTGCATAAAACATACATACATGCCATTAAATCAATATTTATCAAGGAAACTTGTTAAACTCTAAATAATAAAGAGCTGAATAAACTCACAAGTCCGTCGTCATCTTCACACAGATCTAACTGAGCATCAATCACTTGTTCTGCTTCGGACAAAAAGTATTTGAAAAATTTCGGTATAAATTGTGCAGCCAGCCTTTTCTCCTTTGGACCTCCTTGCGATGCACTCAGAATAGATGCATATGCTTCTTTGTGCTGCAAATAAAAAGAACTAACCTAGATCACAAAATTATTGCAAGCTAAGCCTCGGCCACCTACACCTAAGCTATGCAACGAGAACGGTGAACTGTCTATGGACGGCAGCCCAGCCGTACGATAGCACTGAAAGTAGCCTAGTCTGTATGTGGTAACTACTACTAGCTACTTGCTGGTATCGTTCGACAATGAGCAGCCTAGGGCCTAGGACCTAGCCTAGACTTTTCACTAATAAATCTAATGGTCTACCTCAGAAGCATTTTCCTTTGCGTCAGCAAGTACACCATAACATTTATAAAGCTCCTCTACATCCACCATCATGGACGCTATGTGCAGCTGATAGGAATATACAGTAATTTTACTGAATCTGAGTTTTTCGATAAAAAGCAGCACGACCCACGCGTCAATTTTCCCTTGAATGGATGACGACCACCAGCCAGATATGATGGCGCTCTACCACTACAAAAATCAGAAATACACAAAAAACACGTATCATCGGAGATTTTAACGGGGGGGGGGGGGGATTTCGGTATAAACTATTTCTATAAATTTATTTTCTGTAGCCTTAGTAGTAGTAGATTTCATACTATTTTTTTTAACTTCAGGAAATCAAATTTCATTAAAAATTATACGGATTAAGGTTAAAAAAAAATGAAAATCCCGGTAGTCTAGTAATTTTAATTAAAGTACTCATTCTTAGCCAAGAGAGTTATCGACGCTTACAGTGGTATCCTGATGAATTGGAATCCAATTTAAATTGTTTTAAAGTGTATTGTAGTGCGCCTGAAAATGACAAAATTCATTAAAAAAAATAATTTAGAAATTAACTTGCTCATTTTGCAGTAGCATTAAAATTATTAACTTGAGAATATAGTACCCTGAGTTTTATACTTAATAATAACATCACTCTAAAATTATGGATAAACATTTTTTAAAGATGTTTAATCCCTTTTTTTCTATTTTTTTACACATGACGAATTGTTTAGATGCCTTATTTTGTTTATTTTAAAAAGTTTTGTTTATTTAAATGTTTACTGCTTTTCTTGTGTTCCTCCAATCTTTTATTTTTTAATTTGTATGTTGTTATATTGTTCTTGTTATTTTTATTGTTATTGGTTTTTCATTCTTTTTGCACTGGGTTTTTCTGGCCGGCACTTTGGTCACTTTCCATGCTTGGAACTTTTCCATGCTTTCCAAAGCATAGACCATTATATCAAGAATCCTAATAATATTTAGTGTCAAACTAGGGTAGGGTGTGCATGTGAGGACCACTTAAAGTGATTTTAAGGGCAAACAGTCTACACCAGATGCTTATTTCAAAAACGGAACGGGTCAATTGACCACCTGAATGAAAGTTTCGGGAAAGAAGTTAACCAAGTTGCAAGGAAGAAATAATTATGTGTTGGGACGATCAATCCAGTTAAGGGTGTGAAATTGAGGGTCATCTGATTTTGTTACGGTCCCAGACCTAAATATCTCCTTAAAAAAAATCAGTGGGTATAATTGAAACTTAGTAAACAGTTTGCCAAGGTCTAATAAAGAAATTATTTTTAGCGTTGTGAGCGATAGGCCTAATTGTATAAACCGGCTACAAGCCTATTTGTCCATCATTGAAATGGAATCAGAGGAAGATTTTTAATTGAAACACAACAGAATAATACACAAAATAAGCAATTCTATATAATTATTTAGTTCGCTAAAGGAAAATTCATATAGAAGACTCAGTCACCCCAGGGGCGTTTACGTTTAACTCTTATTTATAAGTCAATGGTCACCTTGAGCAGGGTCCCTGCTTTGAGGGTCAAACTTTATAGCGGGCCGTTAGGGGGCGCAAATTAAAGGGAGAAAATTAAATACAAACAACCGAACGTAAACATTTTCATAACGAAGACTTGGTTACCGAAAACTTGATAATTAATGTTGTTTTTGATACTATTATTCGGAAGTCATGATGTGCTATGATTTATTTTGGTTATAGCATTTATTAACAATTAGTCATTGCATAAGTACAAGCAGTATCTTGATCATTTGGACTTAGATAAACGCAATTAGGCCTATGCTAGTGACTGGCTAGGCTAAGCCCGTTGTTGACTGTGGTTCCCTGGCTCCCCGGGCGGTCGCCTGGCCTGCAAACACCTAGGCTGTCCACACTGAGTTGTAGCTGAACAGTTGTGAATGACAAACTAAAGGCCAATCTGAATTTTGAGACAATGCATGCATATTTTATCGGGCTACCTGTGTACCAACAAAGTTGATATCTCAAAACGTAAGTTGATTTATAAATAACCCGGCCTTGTTTTGGCAATTTGCACACTGACTGGTTGGTTGGGAAAAGTGGCAGATCCAGTCCAGAAATTTGAAATAGAGGGGGCCCCAGGGAGGGATCTTCGCACAGATGGAGGGCCCAGACCACTTCAGCCCCACCATGGTTGGGGCTGAAGTAAGACAATTTAATTAAGATTATGGCACCAAGCTAGGTAGATGGCCTGAAGAAATCAAATAATTTAGACAAATTTAGGTGGGGTGTGGGGTGGCTGTTTTAGCTTGAATCCATCACTGGGGAACTATAGTGCTGAATTCAACCAGTGGCCAAATGGATGCAAGGTGTTTTTCTAGGGGAAAAAAACCTGCTAATTATTAATTGTATACACTAGGTTTACATGGATATTCTTCAAACATGCCATAGTGCATTAATTTAAGGGTGTAGCAAGACTGAAAGGATCAAGCAAGCTCTACCAATCAACACCTCTGATTTATGTAAGGTTGTCAAAACATTATCCATGCCTAATCTATAAATTATATATTTTTTATTCACAGAGTGCCTAGATAAAAATGTTTTTATAGTTGATGAAAGACAGGATAATATATCAGAATGTCTGTGGCCAAAGCAAGAGGAATTCAAATCACAGAGTTCTCGGATAATATAATAAATCCAGATCCAATTCAAGTCGAAGAAACAGATATTCTTCTTGAAGATTATTTGTCACCAACAAAACTGGTAATCAAAGATATATATCGTAAATGTTGAATACATTTTGTTTTATGCCCAGCTTGATGTTTTAAAAAGGCAAAATAAACCAAATGACATTATGGAAAAATATTGTAAACATAATATGATTACTTCGTGACAGGGCAAAAAAATACTGTCATTTAGGGTGATAGTACTTTTTTCCCCAGGGAAAAAAAAGTACTCTCACCCCAACCTACATCATATGAGTGATGGTTGAAGTTATTGCCTGCTTCTTAACCAATCAGATGCCTAGAATCTATGTATGCGGTACATAATATATAAATTTATATGTCAGCCAGAAAGAATGTGCACTTCTTTACAGCTGCAAAATGGAATACAATTTTTTATAACTATTTTAATATTGTTTTGGTTAATATAACTTCAGAATAGAAAAGTTTTTAACATTTATCTTATCTTTTTTGTATTAGAAAGCATTAACTGGGGTTGATGACTTGGAAGACATCAAGGTACTGGAAATGAGGGTAGACACCTCGGAAACAAGTCTTGGTAATTTTGGTGCGTAAAGCAACATAGACAAAAATTATTTCTAGAGGAGTAAAACTTATTAATTTATTCAGTATATGAATATAATTGTTAACAGGCACTCATTATAATTACTGGAATTATAAATTACATAGAAAGCACTATTTTATACAGCCAAATAATAGGTTCTTTTCTTGTAAATACATGTAAGCTGCATTGGCATGCATTCAATACAAACATTTAAACGAAAATAATTTATGACATTTCTGTCCAATGAACAGGGAGCATGGTGCCAAACTTGAAGCATCTAAAGTTGAATAACAGTATGATAGCATCCGTTCGTGACCTTGGGACGTCGCTGGAGAACCTACAAGTGCTTTGGATGGCCAGGTGCTGTTTGCAAGACCTAGATGGGATCAGTTCAATGGCATGCTTGCAGGTGAGAATTTAACGGGGGAAAATAGTTTTTCTTTATTCCAAACTAACAGTGTAAAACACCAATAGGTTGAACATAAGGTAATAATAATTTAACAATGGATAATAGATTATAATATTTCAAAATTATATTTTTGCTGGGGGAGAGGGCTCTTATTTTTTTTTTTTTTTTAAATTAATTAACTTGGTATAACCATCAAATATTGGAGTTCAAAAATATATGAAACAAAAAAAAAGCTTTGTCTAGTCCTGAAAGAAGGAAATCTACATTAACAAAACCACTGAGAAATTTGGCCCCTTACTCAATATACTGAGAATAGAATATTGCCAGAGACATATTTTTCTTATATACGGTAATTGAAGTTATGTTTTATTAAAATTGTTATTATATTTTTTTAAATAATGATGTACGGTGGTAACAGCACCCTCTGGATGTTTTTATCTTTACAGGAACTTTATTTAGCTTACAATGAAATAACAGATATTAGTCCATGCAGTATGTTGGAAAACCTCCAGTTATTAGATTTAGAAGGGTAAGTAAAATATTGCCCTCCACAATATTAATATTTTAAAGTGTTCCTGTGCTAAAATTATGAAAACTCCCTCATATTTACATAAAACATTGAATAATCGAATAATTCTGAACAAATTTTAGATAAAAATTGATAATTTACTTTGTATTATTTCCAGTAATAATTTAGACGATACGGTACAAGTAGAATTTTTAGCACTATGTTCAAATTTGAAGACGTTGACATTAGAAGGAAATCCGCTTTGTATTAAGCCATCGCCAGACTATAAAAAGGTATGGTATCCATTCAGCAACTCAAATGTCACTTCTCAATCATTTATTGAGGAAAATCTTTTTCACAAGACAAAAATGTACGTGGTGCTCTACATAAACTAAGTACTGTCGAAGAGCAAATAGAACAAGAGAGCCAACTACGCTTATTCAGAGCGTAAAAAACGATACGCCATACGCAGCCAGTGTAGGATGCCTGTTTTGCCGTTTGTATGCTCTTTATTTCCCAGTACTGCACCGCGCACGATGGTATGATGGTAAAGGAAAAAAAAGAAATCTAGCACCATCTACGAAAGAGTTATATCATGTGAAAAATGGATAAATAGACAAACCCTTTAGTACTGGATAATAAAGAACATACGGACAGATGAGAGATAGCTGGTACTAGTTTACCGGGTAGCTCAGACACGAAGGGACGCTTAGGGGAGAAGAAAGTTATGGTACGAGCTAGTCCACGCCTCAAACGCTTTGAGACTCGAGTATAAACACTATATAAATCAAACTACATTACATTACGAACGGCAGCGTGTGTCCTACACTAGAGAGTGACGTTTTTACAAGACAGCTTGTTCTATTTATACTCTTTGGTACTGTTATGAGTCTTAGGACGTAGAGTTGTTTTGATCATGAATCAAAATCTTGTCACTTGATAGGAATTGAAACCAGGACCTTGACATTGGTAGGTAAGCATCTTAACATACTCCACTAATTTAAATGTCAGTCTTGCACATTTACAAATTATAATCAGTGCAAGCCTGCTTTCATCCAGTATGCCTTTTGAAAATGTAAACTTGACATCACAATGGTATTGTTGTGACATCATTATGCTATATGAAATCACTTCTATTTGTTACAGGAAGAGAATGATACTCGGTATGATTATCGTGCGATGGTCAAGCGATGTATTCCTCACCTGGAAGTGCTGGATGAAGATCCACTTAGCGTAATTCCCTCCAGTTTTTCCAGTAATTCAATTAGTCTTAGCACTGATTGGTTAATTGTTAACGAAGCAATAAAAGATGGAGTAGGATCAAACGAAAGTTTAGAAATAGAAGGTAAGTAGTTCATACAGAACAAGTAGAATTTTTACCAACTAAATGTTACAACTTGTCCATGTCCATATATTCTGTATTTGAATAATTTCTATATATGCGCAGATCAACGGCCTGGCACAGCTATGCGACCGGGATCTGCTTCTTTTCGTCGTCCAGGATCAGCAGGAATTCGTCCCAGAACATCAGCTGGTCGACCAAGCTCATCAGGTGGACAAAGACCGGGAACTTCAGCTGGTGAAAGGCCAGAATCTGGAGGTAAGCTCTATTCTTGATGTAATACACTCATTGAAATTGTTCAGGCCTGCTTTCCATAAGAATCGGTACACGCTATCGCCAACTCCTTGGGGGACGCTCATTGGTAAAGTTCCCGATTGCGTCGGGGACAGCTACGCAGTGCAAGGATTACAGTGAAAAGGCTGTAGCGATGGTGTAGCGATTCTATGGAAACCAGGCCTTAGTGGTCAAGTTCATACTTTTTCTCCATATTATTATTCTGTGTTTTATGTGCAAACTCTAATGGTTGACTTTTGTTGTGGTGATTTAAATTTAAATAAAACATCTGTTATTTTTGTCATTATATGCCAAGATTGCACCAGGATATAAGATTTTTATAATTTCATTATTTGCTATATTAATATTGCAATATAATATTACTCATTCATAACAGGTTCTGACATTTCTGCTCCAAACGATGTAAGTGATTTAACACATGGTGAGGTTATTTGTGGAAATCCAGCAAGAAAGCTAAGAGGAAGAAGGAAAAAAGAGGCATGTGAAACAATATCTTTACTAGTTTAATTATTATTTTTATTGTTAATCTTTTTTTTAAATTAAGTCACAGCTTGTAGTAATATCTTAATATATTTATTTTTTGTATACTTTTTTTATAACATTATTTAGAAATTTGTAATGTGTATTTTTGTATTAATGATAATTTTCATAAAACATTTTAATGTAAATTCAATCTGTTTGAAGTAAAGCATTTACCCTATTTCCTCCTGTCCTTCTATCTCTAAAGGAATTTCAACATATTCCAAAACTGTTCTCCCATTACCAACACCAACCAGAGAAGTCCTATGACATAGAGGAGGATGAGGAGATGACTTGTGAAGAGATTCTCAATGAATTAAAAGCCTGGAAGGAGCAACATGAAAGGTAAACCTAGCTAAGAGTTGTAGCAGTGGCCTATCGGGGGGGGGGGGTGCTCCCCCCAGTCGCCCCATCCAAAAATCACGGTCAAGTAGTTAAAAATCACCTAAAATCACATTATTTTGCAAATAAGCGCCCCTCAACTGATCATCAAGCCCCTTCCACTTTACCTAAGGTTTATACAAAGAATATAGGAACTGTTTATTGGCGATGATTTTGGGGGGGTTTTTTGCAATTTTTAAATGAAAGCTAATATCTATGTGTACAACTTCTATAATTATAGGAAAATTGCAGAACGCAGAAAAGCATCAGAACCACAAGTTTTAAAGATAACTCATGACGATGACGAAGGAGATGAAAATGATGATGAGGATTTGGCAGATTATGGTATTGAAATATCTCCACCATCATCTGCCATGCATAATACATCTCCAACCCCACCAAGGTCAATTTCACCAAAGGCGCCTATAGCACCAAGGCCGATACTACCTAGCAGACCTAAAACATCAGGTATTTAATCCACATTATACATTATCAAATACTTTTTTTCAAATTTTGTCACAGAGAGTAGTATATATCTTCACTTTCAAGACAAATATTATACTAATGGATCACAAAGGCTTTTGGGAAAATCTAACAAGTACCTGTTGTGATCTAAATCATTAATTTTATGTTTTTTATTTTTTTATTTATTTACAGGCCAAATACAATGCAGTAGCAAAATGTTAAAATACTTGCATAACCATACATATAACATATAAACCAGGATCACCAGACAGAACAACATGAACAATTTGACAAATACGTTAACTGAAATACACAAATAAATTAAGGATACATTAATATTCAGATATTAAATGTGGATACAGATACAGTTCTAGGAATCATTGAAAAAAAAAAGTACTTTTTGTCTGCATTTTCATCTTTTCAAATCAATGATAACTATTAATCTAATTTGAATATATTTTACGATTTGTTGTATGGTTTTATGCGATTGGTTTATTTACATTTCTAATGAAAATCTCTACCACCACCTTAGTGGGCTTCCGTTCAAGAAAGTACCGCCATAAATCAGAGGATAGCATTCCAGTTGAGAAAATGCGATTGATGCGGGCGTCACAGGAGGATGATGCAAACGTAGATGAAGCGCTAGGCCAGAGTATTGGATCCAGTACTTACGGCTCCCCATTACCTGTTGAGAGCGTGAATAACAGGCCATTTTCAGGCCCTGTTATTGGAAGCCGAAAATACAAGTAAATATATTTTATTTTGAAATTTGGTACTACCTGTAATATAGATTAAAACAATTTACTTTATGTCCTCAAAGAAGACTTGTCTTACACATAAATTCTACATTATTGTTTTTTTTTTATAAATTGTCTTTATTTTGGTACTTTCTTTTATGGTTTTTTTTTTTCATCTTTAGTTCATGGAATAAGAATATAAGAATGCTGTCTATGTATTTTTTTATAAAAACAAAAAACAGAAAAGTTATATAATGAATAACAACTGAATATACATCAATCAAACTTGTAATAATTGTATCATGTAATTTTTTTTAGTTGAAAATAAAGTTATTCATTTTCTTCATCTTACTATAGAGCATCACCACCGGTGGGTGTATCACAACCTAAGATTATAGACAATCATCAGCCTGTAATTCGTTCGTCCACTCACACACCACCAAATTTAGCTCAACGTCTAGCAAGTCTCAACCGTCCAGCGACTGCTCGAGCAGCTCTCCAGAAACAAGTACTTCCAAGCAGAACACGCCCCTTCCCGTCCTGAAGATAGTTTAGAAGGAATCTCACCTTCCATTGGACTTCCTACTAAAACCGGGCACTCATTGCTCCCAACGGTCATTGGCCAAAACGAGTCCGTGGAAAACGCAACATAACAACGCGTTTTCAATGGATCGTTTTTAATGATGATCTGTTCAGACTGCCACTAGGGAGCTTTCGATTGCACGACGACGGTAGGACGTAGAACGCAATGACGTCACTGAAAGTCATCGGCGCATGCGAGAACGTTAAGTTCTCCTTGTTGCGTGGATCCTAGAACACAATTTAGCCAAATCTATGTATGCAGAGAACGTAGGACGCTCGCAGGGAGTGGAGTTGAATTCACCGAACTACTCAGCGAGTGCTCGTCATTAGTTAGGATTTAAGTACAGTATTGTATTTTTATTTTTTTGTAGGTATTGGAGTGTTGATTCCTCACCTTGACTTTGCAGTGTCTTTCAAGTCATTTGACCAGTTTGAGCCAAAATAACGGGGTTTTTTTTAAACTTGTTGAAATTCTGGTCTCAGTATTACTCTAACAAGAGTATAATTATCCATACTTACCATCCGTCCACCGCTCCTCATTTTGACTTAGCAGTGTCTTTCAAATCACTTGACTAGTTTGAGCCAAAGTAACGTTTCTTAAAACCTGTTAAAAATTAATGTCTCAATATTAAGTGTATATATCCATCTTTACCATCTGTCCACTGCTCTTCATTTTGACTTTGCTGTGTCTTTCAAGTCATTTGACCAATTTGAGCCAAAATATCATCTCTAAAGCCTTGTACACATCATCAAACTTTATTTGACAAAAAACTGTCTTGTGCCCATATATAGTCATGATGTGCCTATCTATGGTCATATGATGTGATGTCATCATGACCATATTTAGGCATGTCACATTTGATAGTTTGGACAGAGCTTTAAATCTTGCTTGAAGTTAAGGTCTCAGTATCACTCTAAAAAGTGTATATATCCGTCCTCGCCATCCGTCCACTGCTCCGTCCAATCTCAAAAATGCAAAATTATACTCATGGTCAAATGTACTTTTAATTGCCAATAAAATGTGCTTGCCTTTAACATTCATGGATTAAGGCCAGGCATTCACAAAATCAGGAAGCAAAGCTATGTTGAACATCATCTTTGATACATCAGTGGATTGGATGAACAAGTAGATAAAGACATTTGATTGTAGAATTATTGATAACATGTGACTATAATGTCAAGGCCTGACCATCATAATCCTTGTCCCATTTGTTTGAGAAGAAGTATGTCAAGGAGGCAGTTAATCTACAGACTTCAAAAAACTATTGCCTTAAAAAAACTTGTGGATTGGTTTACATTTTGAGTAAAGTGAAGTCCTCGTATGAACTCCAAGGTGCATCGTATAAGTTGCAGATAACCTAAGCGACCATTCAGTTTGTAAGCTAACAGATATTTCAACTGGCGAAAGCTATATTTCATTAATTGTTTTTGAAGTTACAGTGCTACAAATCTATTCTGTCTCTTTATGATTTTTACTGGCATGCTGAGGACGATTTTAGTAACTTATAACAAATGCTCAGACATACTGATTTGATTTGATGCTGAGCCAAATTGAGCTAACGCGTAAATTCAACCCACCCTGCCAAAATGCATTTGTTAATACAGACACATTGAATACCGCAAGGTGACATTAAATGTTGTCAATATGAAGTGAAAGAATTTAACAAAACGAGATCATTTGGTTTAAAGAGAAAATAGATTATTACTCAGTAGTGTTGTCTCCAGGCAACGAGTTGATCAAATTGATTGTGTAGATTTGTTGATAAAATATTCCCTCTATGACGTGATTCTGAATGTAACATTAATTTTTAATAAGTGCCGTACTATATCTGCATGTATTTGTTGTAAATTCAAAATTCAACTTGTTTGGGGCTTACTTTTTTGCATTTTTCAACAGTAAGCTGCAAATTAGCGCAAGGCTAGGTCCAGGTCTTATGTTCAGGCCAAGGTTAGCCGTTTAGAGCACCTTCTGACCAAAAATTATTAAACATATTCTGCAAGATAAATAGCAAAAACTTGTTGAGGTAATCATGACGATGTATATATATATTTCATGTTCTAGTGAAATTGATTTGTAAAATAGTAGATCTGTGCCTGCAAAATGCTAATATTATTATCCGATGCATTTCATTTTTGTATAGTCGTTTTGTTTCTTTTTTTTTACAATGAAACAAAACTGAGTATAACAACATTTTTTCGTAAGATTAATGTGATTTTTTTAAAAACATTTTAAAGCAAATTTATTTTCCTGTTCAGGACCAAACATTAATACTGTACAACTTTGTCAGTATTTACGGATAACATGTGCTTTCATATCTCAATTTTGATATTTGTTTACCTAATATTTGATATGATTTTTAGTGTTAAAAGTCAATTTCCCTCCAAATTTGGCAAAGTTATTATTTGTAGAAAAAATGGCATAAACATACATTACATTTGTTTTTTTCTCTATTAATAAGATATAATATCTAATTGTTTAAAAAAAAAAAAGTAATTGACTAAATTTAGATAGCCCAAGCCAGGTTTTGTAGTGTGATTGCTAAATGTAATCGAAGGTTTCCATGACCGGTGAGGCTAAAAATCTCTTGTAAATTTACCTGTAATTACAATAATCTCTATTTTCTTTGTTTCTTTATTTGTTAATTTGTATTAACTGATGTGTTTTTATTTGTAGTAATGAAATTATTTATAATACATTATATTAAACCATCCATGTATCTTATGCATTAATTTGTGACTTATTAACATTGAGAGTATTGTTCCGAACTAGTGGTATTTATTATTTTTAATGACAATAAACCATCATCACAACCATCCATCATCGTCGTCATCATTATTATAAATGAACACACATCATTACTCCCCGAAAACGATGACATCATACATAACAAAATCACGAAGAAAACAGGGTGGCAAAAGAAGCCACACCAACTGGAAATAGAGTGAATCCCGCAACATTTAAACAAATCAAATACAAAATAGAAAACAAATCGACTTCCATGGTATTGACAACGCGACATGCTGTACGAACAAGACAGACGAAAATTGAAGCCATTATATGACAGAATGGAATATATGCCAGATTAAGTTATAGCGATGAGGGCCAAATTTATCTAGAATAATGAAGCGCAACTACTTTAAAAAGAGTTCGTTTAAAGTTATATTTAGAAACCGAATTACAGATAGTCAAAAAAATAAGATATATGTGCCAAGTTTTCATGAGTCAGGAGGAATGCGCATGTAGGCCCCGGTACTTAATAGACCTGTGTTATCCTAGCATACATCACACATCTAGAACGCCTTTTGACCCCGGTCTGTGGGGATAGTAAGGAGTCTGTTGAATGTTTCAGGCGTTTTCTATAGAAAATTCACGCCAGTATGATTCAACTAGTAATAATGTGTAAAGTGCCGATCGTTCGGTTGTCAATAAATCTAGTGTTATATTAGATTAGACGAAAATGGCTTTTCGATTAAGGTTAATATTTCATTACTTGTATATTGCTCATTTAAATTGATCGGCTCATTTGATATTAATAATAATGCTTGGTCGCCAATAACTGCTTTACTCGCAATGGATAAATCCCAATGGAACTACACCATACGGTATGATATAGTAAGTGGTGTGTAGGCTATACATAGGGAGATTGCCTGAATGTAGGCGCAGGCGGGTATTCACACGGGTATTGAACAGATCATACATGTAGGCACCATGTAATTGAATTTGCAATGACGGACAGATGACATCAGGTAATACAATAATTATTAGATGATGAATATAGAATAAGAATAAAGAAGGAACAAATTGAATAAAGACGATGCGGATGGGGGCGACATAATGGGAAGTATTTCAAAAAAAATATACACCTAATAGGACTACCATTGAAGTAGCTTTCTCCGTGTTCACACCACTGTTAACATACTGAGAATTTCTGTCCTTGATTAAGCGGCTAGTTTCCATACTTATGTTTTATATAGGGCCTGTATTAACAACCATAAGGTTAAGACAGGCACTATGTGCAGACTAAACACTAGCTCTCGTTAGATTCACTTTTATAAAATATTTATTTTAACAATAATAATGTTATCAATAAAATAATGATAATCATGATGATGGTTATGGTAATACTACAGAAATATCTGGGTCACTGAACACACTCATAATTCTTGGAGATAATTATAGCAAACTTTGAGTTGCATATCAATAACTGCTTCTTATGTTATGTTTCTGCGTGGATTACAACAATACACGACACATCCCATCAGGGCGATCTTCTAAAGGTAGCCTACAGGTTAATATGACTAAATTATTATTCTCCAATTTATATCGCTTACATTTTCGATTCTCATGGCCGGTATAAATGTACTGAAAAGCATTATATTACACTTTGCTGTTAAAACGATCATTATTAAACCCACGCGTTCACCCCAAAAAGAAACAAGCTAGTATTTGACACTTGGCCTTCATTATTAATATTTAAGGTGACTTATTGCTAATAACGTTACATGATGACGTCATGTATTCAAATAGAGGATGCTACGATTCCAAATGACGGACCTGGTTATCGTATCACGTGTTATATTGCTCAAATTGAGTAGGGCTAATCCTTCATTAACAATAGTTTCTCATTATTAATCACGAAAAAACTTGGGACGAATGGGAAAGCGCATGACTCTTTTATCAACCAACCTGCAAGTACACTGAACTTTTGGGCCTCGGTTTCTGGTTTGAATTCATTCTTGATTTTCACAGTCATTTGTCCAATACGTTATAATTAATCTAAATAATACTAGGCCTAATTTTAACTCGATGTCTAAGCCGATTTTATCTCGGAAGTTATTTAATTGTGATACTTAACGTAAACTCTGTTTAGACTGAAATGTTTAGCAAAGATATAAACAGGAATTTGAAATAATCATAAAACAACTTAAGAAAAAACAAGGGAACCGCATTATCAGGTCAATTTGATGTCACTTGACGAACACCGCAGATTAAATAGCTATAATTAATAGAGTAATGAACCTATAGTAAGTAAGTTTTTTTCAAGGTTGTGTGGTGCGGTCTTCACGAGGTTTCTGCAATTGTTAGTCATGTATGTGTCATGCCAAATATATTATCGGTATATTAGCGTACAGGCTCGTTAACACGGGTTAATAGGCGACAGTTCACAGGCATTTTTGTAGATAAGTCATGGAGTTTTTGCTTATAGCAAACAAATGATGTCCAATGCAATAATTATCGGATGCACGAAAAGTATATAAAAAATTTAAACAATTATAATGTATATAACATAAATAAAAATATTTCAAATATTAATCTTTCATCAGTACGTTTATGGACATAGAAAATTTTCCCGCTAACAATAAGCCTGTGATAATGCAATGAATAACTACTATACTGTGTACAAGAAAGAACGATATTTAAAAAAATTTTTTTTTTTTTTAATTTAAAAAATTTCAACACCTACAAGGACTCGAACCCGGGCCTTTTGCATACACAGCTAAGGTTATAATCAAGTTATTAAATGACTGTTATTATACGATATTGTGATTGAATCACCCGATCTAAAGTATGAGTGTCTTTGTTTTTTATATATTAATACCAAAACCATTTTGTGACATAGAAGACCAGAGTCTGCGTTGGACTCGTGGCTCAAAAGTTGAACTGGACATTGCCATGAACCGTCGAAGTCATACGCAGAGTACGTA